TAAGAATATTTCGTGGGAAGAAACTGCCTGCATGCAGATAAAAGATCAATTAAATAAATATACAAAAAAAATAGAAATGGACGTAAGACAGAACTGTGTCTGCTCACCAGATTTATTTAACCTATGCAGTAAGGTGATCATGAATTCTCAAAAATAATTTTTTTTTATTAAATTTTATGCTAATAGGGGGGTCCAGTTTGCTATGCAAATTCATTGTAAATTGATTCCCCTATGTAAACTAAAACAAATATGCTCATAGAACGTGATTTCTTAAAATGCAAAATATAATCTAAAGTGCTTAATCGCTAGCAAGGAAAGGAAAAAAAAAAACACTGAATTACAATTTTAACATTAAAATAATGTGCTATGAGCATATTTGTTTTGACTCCTGTAGGGAGATCAACTTACAATGAATTTACACAGCAAACTGGACCTCCCTAACCTTATTAACTTGTATAAAATTTAATGAAAACAATTTATTTTATATTCATGAGCTGGTTTTCTTAATCTATATTAAGATGGAAATATATTTATGCATTAAATAATTCACTCTAAAAATATATATATATTTTAACTTTTAACATACTTTTTCTGTAGGTGAGTCAATGCATTTTTCCCCATTCATTAACACTAGAACAATTTGAGGGGACCGATATTGAAAGAACTTAAAATGATTACTTGGTTACTTATTTTAGTGCATCATATTACTTGCAATTATTGCCTCATGGCACAAAAAAGTTATTAAAAAAAACTAACTGCAAATAATCAACAGTGCTCTTTTTATAGCTATCTCTCATATTATTGCCAACTCAAACTGTTTTTAATATAACTTTAATAAAAACATTTCACTTTGTTTCATTAAAGACAAAATAGCAGTAAATTCTTTCTCAACAGAATTAGTCAGTGTCATCATCTTCAAATAAACATTCACCAATTAAAAAAGAAACCAGCAAAAGGGCTGCAAAAACTATGGCATTTTAAGGAAACTTTTTTTATTGTTCTCTTTCCGTCATAACATTTTTTTTCTTATATTCATGCTTTCGAGTAACATTTCATCTTCAAAAATTTAAATGCAATGTTAATTGTCATCTTCTGTCTTTTTAATTCCTGTTCTTTTATTGTTCTCTCTCTCCTTAATATAATTTTTTTTCTTTTCCTTATATACTTTCACATTCTGTAACCCCCGTGTGTCTTAATAGCTTTATTGCCTTGCTTGGGATGAAATGAGTAAAAATGATAAAGTGCCTTTTTTTTTTAGAGAGAGAGAGAGAGGGGGAAAAAAATCAACTTCACACCTATAACAAACCCATAAATTAATCTTTCACTTAATATAAAATTAACAAAAATGAGAAAATCTACAGTCAACTGCTGAAACCTCCTGACAAGTGGACAGAACGATTACAAAACAATTCATTCATGAAATTCCTTTCTCTCATATATATATGTATGTGTGTGTTTGTGCAAAAGTATTAGGCCAGTTTAAGCTATTGTAAATTCCTAATAATTTTAGGTCTGTCTACAGATTAAACTTTGCCCATATTGGAGTCATTTTCACACCTAATTATCATATTTTTTTAGCAAGGGTTCAGAGTAGAGAACATGCAGGACAACATACAAAAATAGCTGTGCAAAACTCTTCGACATTAGAAATTTATGATACTCTAAGACTTTTGCATGGTACTGTATATAATGGCTGGCTATTCATTTATCGAGTATACCCATCTGCTAGCCAATCCTTGTCAATCAAATACACCGGCTCAGGCACCTGTGGGTATTTTGTTCAATACCCACAGGGCCCACCTATGATTTATACTGCAATTATGGTTAAATCTTTGTTATGGTTTCTGGGTGCGGGTAAACAATCTGTCATGATCATTGTTTGAACAATGTCAGAACGCTCAAACCCTCGGTGACAATGACTTGTAACTGTGCAGGTGCAATCATCAGTGGCTTCTAAATTTCTATCTATCCAATTTAATTTCCAAGGCATACATTAACCCATAGTGTGGTCTTCAGGCTGTTTCCAAAGGTGCCACATGCTGGAATCAGCTCCACAGACCAATAAGATCAAGAAGTCACCTTCCTGACAAATCAACCATAGTGAGATTTGAACCCATGTCTCAGAATGTCAGAACGGGAATGCTCTAAAACTGCAGCCATATAATTTTTTATAATTTTATATACCAACAGTATTTAGAAAAATAGTATAAATTACAAAAAAGGTTTTGTGACATGTTTCATCCTGTCTGATGAAATCCTAACAGATGAAATGTGTCACAAAAACATTTTCCCCAATTTTTCATACTACATTATATATATGATTCTACTTCCTCAGGCAATGGTTGGTAACTGGTTACCAACCACTGCCTGAGGAAGTACAATCATAGTATTGAAACATGAAAATTTTTGTGTAGCGATATAAAATATTTTTATTATAATCTCTTATAACAAAAATATTATAATATTTTGCTCTACCTTGTAGTGAGCACTTTTTTTTAAAAGTAAATGCTACAAACTGTGGATTTCATCTGTTCTTTCGCTTATTTGGAGATATATATATATATATATATATATGTAAACACAATAAGCCAAGTGATTTTTTTTCTCTGAAATTTTCTACTCTGCACTTGCAATGCCTAGTGGCAGTGTCTTTGTTATGACGATATACATTTCACAATGTTTATGAAGCAAGGAAAAATAAATGACTCCCTGAAAGAGCTAACTAAAACAAAAGTGGAGAAATATGTTTTAGCTTTAAATAACACACAAACTGTTGATAAGCCATAGAAAAAAAAAATGATTTCATCAACAGCATTGGCAGGAAAATATAGAAAAATGCTTTGTTTTTTTTGTTTTTTTCAAAAAGAGATAACTATTAAAATTAAATGTTAATTGTAGATTAACTTTCCCTGCTGTGTTTTTTGTTAGTTACCCAACAAATTATACTGTTGTTTAGTTTAACATGTTAATGTCTATATTGTTTCTATTATATATAATAGACATTTTTTTGTTTCTGTTCTTTCTCCAATGCAGTACATTAAAAACTCCTCAATTAAATTTATGACTAATCTGGATATTGTAAATGGGTCAAGTTAAATTTTGATGACTCTCTACAAATCAATAAGAAATAAAGCTGTTGTGATGAAATAACCTGACTTCCCCATTCACCATAAATGGACGTTCCGGTGGCCGATAAAGTTCGACCACAGTAAACAGTCCACATCGACAACAGAGAGCGACAACAAAGGTCTTCGTTGACTACACCATTCGGTTAGCTTACTCCTACTCTGTCTCTGTATTTTGACATTCCTACATTCCAATATATAAAGTATTATTATTTAAACCACCACCGGGTTTACTTTGTTATTATATCTTTTGTGAGATATAACGACTGGCATTTAGATATAACAGTTGGCGAACGGAAAAACTTTAGTATGCCTAACGATAACAGTTGGCAACGAAGGATTGTGCAACGATATTTGAAAAAAAAAAAAAAATATATATATATATATATATATACGTTGAACGGATGTTAAAGTGGAGTCACAAGTCAAAAAAACTTTTTGAAAAGTAAGAATTTTACACTCAAAACGAGCCGGTCTAACAATAATTATTCAAGTAAAATTACGGCTTGTAAAAATATTACGGCTGTAAGTTGTTTGTTGAGAGTTTAACTGTCTAAAAAAAAAATTTTTTTTTTTGTGTTTTTCCAATTCTAAAATAAGGATGGAGCAATTAGTCGAAATGACTAAAATGCTGTGTACAAGCTTACAACAGCAACAACAACAGTATCAAGAGTTACAACAACAGCAACAAAAACAGCACCAAGACTTACAACAACAAATATTGCAACAGTAAAAAGGAAAAAAAGTTTTGGAACAGGCGACTGGAGAAAGAAAAATACTGTTTTTTCTGCGGAAGGAATAACAAATTCATTATCCGAATTTATTTATGATCCTGATTCGGGCATTACATTTATTTTTAAACGTTTTGAAACTATATTTACCAAGAGATGTCAACATTGGTCAGATGAGGAACGAGTAACATTACTAGTACAGAAACTAGGGACAAACGAGAATAGGAAGTACTCAAACTTGATACTGCCCAGAAAGCCAGAAGAAGTTTAAGTTTGAAGAAACTATAAGTATTCTGTCAAAAATATTTGAGAAAGAATAGTCTGTTCCACACGCGATACAGATGCCTAAACATCGTTAAAGCAGATAACGAGGATTTTGTGACATACAGCGGGGAACAGTGAACTCTCTGGTTGGTTAGAAGAAATAACCAAAGATGTATTCAAGTGCCTAATTTTTCTTCAAGGACTAACTGATCCTAAATAAAAAAATTAGGTCGAGAATATTAATAAAAGCAAGACTCGAAAATAACATTACAAAAAGAGTGACCGAAGAATGCCAACGTCTCATAAACGTAAAAAGGGATAATATACAAATTGAGGAGAAAAA